GGCCTCACCAGGCTGAGGGCCTGCGACAGCTGCAGCAGGGCGTCCTGCGCCGTCTGGCCGGCGCGGCGCAGCTTGCCCAGCGAGTGCTCGTAGGCGCGCTGGCGCAGCCGCTCCGACAGGGAGCCCAGGCGCACGAAGTAGCTCTGCTCCTGCCGCTGCTGCTGCACGGACGCCATGCCGGAGCCCTCGGGGGACGTGGCGAGGAGGGCTGCGGGGAGGAGGGACAGGCTCCGTGAAGGCCGGCCACGCCTCGAGGCCGCTGGGGTCCTCCCGCCCAACTTTCTACCCTGGAGCTGCTCACAAGCCGCTAAGGCCTGCGGGTGAAAGATGCCTGCGCCTCAGTTTCCCCTTCTGCAAAATGGGGAGGAGGGAACTGAACCTCTCGGGATGTGGGGGACTTATACTGGTGCCAGGGTCTCAAAGGATGGCCTGAGGGCCAGTCGGTCTCGCTCCACTTTTGTGCAGCCCGTGAATGCAACCACGCAGGGTCACCATAGTCCTGCGGCGAAAATGACGCTGCCGCCAACGACAGCTCCCATATACGGTCGCGTGCACGGTGGTATGTAGCAGTACAGTCTTATATTTTTCCTGTTTTTTTTTTCCTTTTGAGACAAGGTCTCGCTCTGTCGCCCAGGCTGCAGTGCAGTGGCGCCATCACAGCTCACTGCAGCCTCCAACGCCTGGTCTCAAGCGATCCTCCCGCCTCGGCCTCCCAAAGTGCTGGGATCACACGCGTGAGCCGCCGAGACTGGCTCCTTATCCACTTCTTTACAGAAAAAGAGTCGGATGATCTTGTATTAGTGCCTAACGCCTGTAATCCCAGCACTTTGGGAGGCCGAGGCGGGAGGATCGCTTGTGTTGGAGGCTGCAGGGAGCTGTGATGGCGCCACTGCACTCCAGCCTGGGCGACAGAGTGAGACCTTGTCTCAGAAAAGAAAAAAGAAAATGTTTGTCATTCCCTGGTCTATAGGCAAGTGATTTTGCCAGTATGCCTCAGTTTCTCCTTCTGTAACACCGCCCCAGTCAGAACTGCCTCAAGGGTGACATTTGGACTACCTTGTACCCAGACAGGTACACAAATGAATGCTCGACTATTAATTTTATTATCTACTTATAGCAGACGCTCCAGCTTTCCATTTATAGTAACGACAAGGTTTCTAGAAGAATCCAGAAAAGTTAATCTAAAGAAGATATCCAGCCAGGGTGGTGGCATGTGCCAGTCATCCCCCAGGTACTGGGGAGGCCGAGGCAGGAGGATCGCTTGAGCCCACGAGTTCCAGACCAGCCTGGACAACACAGCAAGACCCTGTCTCAAAAAAAAAACCAAAAAACAAAAACAACCAACCAAACAAAACAGAACAAGAAGGATATGAAATAAATAAATTGCAGGGAGCACGAATGTGTGCCCAAGATAATGCAAGAGGACACGTCAGCCAGGCAGGGAAAGCGGGCTCCTTCTCACGATCAAGTGAGATCTGCATTTTAGTCACATATTTATGCATCTCGTTCTGAGTGAGGGATCATTCCAGAAACGAAATGCGGCCATCAGTGAAACACCAAAATACCACAAGCAGAGCAGCGGGCACGCTGCTCAGTCAAGGCAAGCCTTCCTTTGGGGAAGTCAGTTGTTTCTATACACATTACATAATTCTGGAAGAACACATCGTGATCTAGGGGCAAACTTTTCCTGTTCAGGCCAGACAGTAGACGCTTTCAGTTTTGCAGGCTGTACCATCTCCCCACTACTCGGCTCTGCTATAGAGTGTGGAAGCAGCCACAGACCGTATATACCCCAATGGGTGTCACTGCGTGCCAATAAAACTTTATTTACACAATCAAGTGGTGGGCCACATTTGGCCTGCAGGCTGTACAGTCCAATACAGTCTGCTGGGGAAGGGGATGTCGTAGAAAAATCTTTGTACACTGACACTGAAAAAAGGTTAACACTGGCTGGGCAAGGTGGGTCATGACTGCAATCCTAGCACTCTGGGAGGCTGAGGCAGGAGGATCGTTTGAGCTCAGGAGTTTGAGACCAGCCTGGGGGGGGGGACAGTGGGAGAAAGCCATTTTTCGCGAAATTGTAGGCTTCATCTTTGCTGTCTGTTAATGTCCCAAGTGCTTGTTTTTGCGTTCAGTTTTTTGTTGTTGTTATTGTTTTTCCAGAAAGGGTCTCAGTCTGTCACCCTGGCTGGAGTGCGGTGGCAGGCCATAGCTCACTGTGGCCTGGAACACCTGGCCTCCAGCGATCCCCTGCCTCAGCTCCCGAGTAGCTGGGGACTACACGGCATGGCCACCTTGCCCAGCTAATTTTTGTAGTTTTGTACAGACAGGGGGTCTCGCTGTGTTGCCAGGCTGCCTTCAACTCTTGGCCTTAAATGACTCTCCCGTCTCTGCCTCCCAGGAGTGCTCGGATTACAAGCATGAGCCGCTGCGGCCATCTTGTGATCGACGTTTTCTTTTACTTTTTTGTGAGACAGAGTCTCACTCTGTTGCCTGGGCTAGAGTGGCCGTGGTGTCAGCCTAGCTCACAGCAACCTCCAACTCCTGGCTCAAGCGATCCTCCTGCCTCAGCCTCCCGAGTAGCTGGGACTACAGCATGCAGCCACCTTGCCCGGCTAATTATATATATATATATTAGTATATATATATATTTTTTTTTTTTTTTTAGTTGTCAGATTTCTATTTTTTTTAGTAGAGATGGGGTCTTGCTCTTGCTCAGGCTGGTCTCAAACTCCTGAGCTCAAATGATCCTCCTGCCTCAGCCTCCCAGAGTGCTAGATTGATGCAGTCATGACCCACTCGCCCAGCCAGTGTTAACCTTTTTTCAGTGTCAGTGTACAAAGATTTTTCTACGACATCCCTTCCCCAGCAGCACTGTATTGGACTCTTACAGCCTGCAGGCCAAATGTGCCCACCACTTGATTGTGTAAATAAAGTTTTATTGGCACACAGTGACACCCATTGGGGTATATACGGTCTGTGGCTGCTTCCACACTATAGCAGGAGCCGAGTGGGGAGATGGTACAGCCTGCAAAACTGAAAGCGTCTACTGTCTGGCCTGAACAGGAAAAGTTTGCCCCTAGATCACATGTGTTCTTCCAGAATTATGTAATGTGTATAGAAACAACTGACTTCCCCAAAGAAGCTTGATCTTCTCTCTTTTT